ACAATTTTCTTCGTTGGATCCTATTGGGTTAGAATTCAATATCGACGCAATCTTAAATAATTTTTTTAAATTTTAGAAGTCTCATTGAACAAATTAACTTCACGTTTGAATATACAACAGTGTCGTACCGTCTTCAAAAATTCGCCAATGGCTTTAAAAGCAGCACGTTTGACATCAATGTTTATGTGCTCCCGGCATTTCCAAATGCATTGCCATAATTCCTCATGGTGCCGCAGATAGTATTGACCAAAAATAGAAGAGTGATTTATTATATAGTCGAAACCAGCTAAAAAAAAAAAAATGACGCAGCAATAAATTCAGAACAATGATTTAAAATTGCATTTCGATTAATGATGCTATCAGAAAACAAACTTTTAGCTATATCATATCGCGTTTCGTTTTCAACCATGGTTATACTTCGTTGAATGCATTCAAATATGTATCCTTCACTACCCGCTGAAATATAATAGAACATGATCAATTCTATGAATCAGTCTTCCGAACGAGAATCGAAATCGGACAAGTAGAAAAACCTTTTCGTGGAACATCGGGGAAACTAAATAAAAACGAATGCAGGCCTTTAAAAGCTGCATTTGCATGATTCGGATCTTTCAACATATGTATAAAAACGCGAAGGATCTTGTCTTGATCCTTTTCAGATTGTTCGGGAAAACGACGTGAAACAATCCCAATCATGGTTAAAACCCCAGCCATAACTAAATAAATAGTTGGTTTGGGAAAAATGTTATTGACTAATTATTAAATCATACTTGAATAAAATGGAAAGTAATAATGACCTTTTGTACTTGATTGTATCTTGCTCTTTACAAACACGCAGTCAAGATATCTATTACGGATTTGTTAGTCATTATATATATATGTATATATATCGCCTTACAACATCAAAGATATCCAAAGTTATTACCTTTTCAAGACATCTTGTATGTGTATTTTTTCAGGATCAATAATGGAGACATTAGAATCAAGCATTGCCATCATTGGCTTGAAAGATGCAGCTCGAACCAAAGCTTCATCATCAAATTGAAGAATAGACAAGCACGCCTCCTATTGAACATATTCAATAAGATAAATGATTCAACAGATTTTTATAATTTTAATATGGTTTGTGAAGTTTTTATTAATTATTTTCAAAAATACAAATATATATTTTTTAATACAATAAAGGAGAATATTATGAACCTTTATTTTGACAGAGTATGGTTCAATGTCGGCTTTGACTTTCTCGATATAAAGAAACAAAAACTCTAATAGTGCAATCTTTGCTTTCTCGAGGGTTTTGTCAGCCACATTGATTAATTCCATTAAAAATCTAATTATACCAATGTTGGGGTCGAACAATAACTTTGATACGAGACCTCGAAAGTGAAATCAAGGTCAAAAGACAGATTAGTCGCGTTTCAATAAAGATTAGATTGACAATAACTCTGAGATGAGATAATCAAGGAACGCAAATAATGGATCGCTTCGACAAGAAAAGAATAATTATCGATTACCCAGTTCCTCGACATCAATATCACTAATGACTATTTGTTCGATATCCTCGCAGTATCTTAGTGCCTCGCCGTTATCTTGAAAAAGTCCATTTTTTGAGAGTTGTAATATATTTTGACGACATTCTGAAAGTTCTTGCAAACACTTCTGAAGTTTATCCACCGCAGACATAACAGATTGTCAGAGAAAGTAAAAATTTCAATTGATCAAAATTACTACATTCAAATACGCGGCGCAGAGCATTGCTCTTATTGGCTATTACGTCTGGTGATTTTTATCAAATGTGATTGGCTGATACAATTTATTTAATTGAAAATGAAACGCGTAAGTTATAATTAATTGTATGCCATAAGAATCAAATGTTGATATCTTAAAGGTGGAAATCAACTTTTTCATTTACGTTATTGCAAATTGTAAAAGATGATTAAAATCAACAATAACTGAGTATTGTGATAAGGGATAATTGAGATAAGAAGGATAATCAGGATACGAAGGATAATTAGGATAACGGGAATAATGAGGATAATGAAAAAAATGTATAAATGTACTTATCTATGTGATAAATCCTTTTGTGTTCTATTTTCATTATGTTCCATTTTAGTTTCGCTCGTAATCACGTGACCCTAGGGTGAAGATCAGTCAAATCCAACCGCAAAAAACAAAAAGAAGCAATTAGAAATCCAAACTCAACAATCAACTAGTGCAAATGTGCCTGCTTAGCTACTGCGTAACATTCTATGACAAGATCGGTGCAAGTAATAGACCCCTTATTTTTTATTATTGCATATATACTGTATATACAATAATAAAATAGTTTTTTTAAAAAAATAAAAATTGGATTGTTAATTCAAAAAACAGATATTTCAAAGAAATTTTATATTTCTTTATAATAAAGTTTATATACTTTTTTATTATAAAATTACTTAAAAACATTGGTTTTTTTTTGTTTTTTTTATTTTATATTGGTTTTGTTTTTTTAAAAAATCAAAAAAGATGTTATTTCAATTAGAATAAAAAGCTTTTTTTATTGTTAATTATCTTGAAAAAGCATCTAAATTATAAGTTCTTATAATAACAAACAAACTATATATGTTTATCTAAGCAAATAAATCTTATTTTAAATATTTTTTAAATATTTTTAATCAATAATAAAATAGTAAAAATTAAAAAAATAGG